GATTACCCTTTTAGCATCATCACAGAACAAGTCACTGTTACAGAAAATAGCTCATTGGGAATGCAAGTCCTTACCAGCAGATAGCAAAGCCACCTGCTTACACTGGGAGATAATCTCAACACAAAAGATTGAAAATGGTCCCTCTAACCCAGTGGTTCCCAAAGTGGGCAGTACCGCCCCCTGGGGGGGATGCCTTAGGGGGGCGCTAAGAGGCAAAGGGGGGCGTTCGAGGCGCCGGTAGCAGAATGTTTGAGTAGTTCAGAGAACTGGTAGCAGAAATTTTGAGTAGTTTGGCATACCACCTCTGACTGGCCCCACCCCCACCTATTCTCTGTCTCCCGAGTCCCAGCTGATCGGCTGGGTGTTCTTTTGTTGCCCTGCACAGGAGAACGGAGCTGGAAAGCAGGTTAGTGGGGTGGGGAGGGAATGGGGATTTTACAGTATCCTTCCTCTGCCATGGCCACCAAGCCACACCCACCAAGCCATGCCATGCCCACCAAGCCACACCCACAGAACCAGTAGTAAAAAAATTTGAATCCCTCCACTAGTGAGTAAGGTGATTTTTATAAATATGGTTTTACAGTGGTATCATCCTTCTCGCAAGAACGATTTCCCCAGAGGGATTTGCGATTTGCACATTGTCTATACTTTCTGACTTTTGTTTTTGTTCTAGCAGTATTTTTATCTTTTAAATAACTTCAGTCTAAAAGTTTGTTTGTTCCTTAGTCCTGTTTATGCTATTTTGCTCCCTTTTGCTAGTTTTATGCTGTATTCTGTTGCTATTTTTTTTATTCTGCTTTCAATATTTTACCGTTTTAGGGCTTTCTAAAAACTACAACAGAATTTTCTATTTCCATGTGGTACAGTACTGAAATACTGTGACTAAACCAAATAAGCACAAATTAAACGTTAAATAAAAAAAAATACAAGAGTTTTTCTACAAATGCATATGCTGCTTCTATTTATTTATATATCAAGCTTAGAAATTGCCCATCTCCCTCAAAGACAGATTCTGGGCAGTGTATAAGTAAAATCTAAAAACAGGTCAAAAGGTACTGGACTAAAATACACAAGTTTGGAAAAAATGATTAAACAACGTATAGATTTGAAACCTGTAATATTCCTATTAGAAATGGTACCAGAAGGTTATAGTAAAGAAAAGATTTACTTAATTATACATGTCTTAACAACAGCTAGGATTGTATTTGCCCAAAATTGGAAGAGTGATAAAATACCGATAGAGGGAAATATAATTGAAAAAATATTTGAATGTGCAGAAATGAATAGATTGACACTAGAAATTAAAGAAAAAGAAGAAACTGAATATTACATGGTATGGAATATGTTTTATCAGTGGATAGAGAATAGAACAAGCTAAAAAAAGTTTATGTATTTATAGAGCAATTAAAGAAATTTAAGCAAAGTTATAATGTGTGATATTATTATGTATATGGGAATATATATGGGAACATTGATATATTGTTAGATTTGATAAGAAGAATATAATTTATAATGTTTAAATAATTGAAATATGTACCCAAGTCGGCGCACAGTTGAAATGGAATGATTTGTTGTATGTAAAAAAACAATAAAAATGATTTATTAAAAAAAAGTAAAATCTAAAAACATAAAAACTAAATATTATATTAGGAGACAAAAGTATTTAAAATTCAAAAGGCAGGGAGAGGGCCTTCTTACCAGCTATCACGAAGTTCCTTCTCCCCTTTTTAAGATAAGGTGAAAGTGAATTCCAACCCATGTCAAGAGAGAGAAGAAAAGAATGAATGATGGGACTTGGTAAGAAGTAGATTAGGAATAAGTACTGGGGCAGTTCTTCCTTTTGCTGACTCTGCTGGTAGAGTAGAAGGTCCATTTTCTAAGTTGCACCACGCAGACCCTTTTAAGTTTCCATTTACCCACATGGAATATTTATACCAGAAAGGTCCGCACACTTGAATAGTTTTAAAGACTAAAATATTCCAAACATAGGTAAATCATATTGCTTGTTGCATGACTGATTTAGCTGTGACATGCCTCCCAGAAATAAAGGTTTCTGCCAAATCCAAGAGCAGAAGTGGATTTCTACCAAATCCAAGACCAGCCTTCCATCAGGAAATAATCTCCAGTTGTTTTGAATATTACCCCAACCAGCTCTTCCATTATTTATGTCTGTAACGATGATAGGTTTAGAATCTGCCTCAACTAGATATTAACCAGGATAGAGAAATTTGTGTACATGTTGCTGCCTAGTCTTTTAGAACGGTATCTAGACATTTTTCAATGATGCAAGACTATCCTTAATTTTTCCCTTTTTCTGTGGGATCAAACTGATGAAATGGGTCAAGTGGTAAAGTGATGTTGTCAAGGGGTGGAGGGGTTGGTTAGTTATCTTTAGGATTTTTTTTTTTTAAATCTAGGTTGTATTGGTACAGAGCAACGCATGACATGGGATTTGTTTTACATCTACTGAAAAATGGAGAGAAATACTTTCATCATTTTGTGGTGATCAATTGCTTGTATTTAGCAACACAATTTCCGGAAAATATTAGGGTTTCGGAAAAGAGGGTCATGCATTGCATACGGTTTACTTCTATTTTATAGCAAGAGATAATAATAGGAAAAAAAAAGGTATGTAGTCATGAAGATTCCTTAGAACATGTTCAAAAGCAACAGAGTTTTAACCATTTTTGCCAGGACTAAACATTCATAAAAAGATATGAGAATAATTTTCCAAGAATATTTCAGGAGAAAAAAAGCTACAGCTAAACAGACTTGTTTTCCTTGATGTGTAATAAAATCAATTATTAATACAAGCTCTTTCCAGCTGGAAATTGGTTCGGCATCAATAGAAAAGAAATCAGCAAATCAAGCAATAAATACATCATCACTATTGCTCGTTCCATGTGTCCTGGAATGGATGCAAGCAGATAGATGTTGATTGTAAAGTCAGTGGCTTTACCTGTTGCCACAGGCAAAGGAGACCCCCACCCTCAAAAAAATGCCATGTGTAATCACAACTGGAAAGAGCAGTAAAGGGCAGAAGATCCAGGTGATGGCGGCATCAAAACACAGATGTAACCTAGAAATGGATTCAGGAAAGGCCTAGAGCTGAACACAAAGAAAGGGAGTGGTACCTAGGAAGGAAGGCTCCTAGTCATTGCTCTGAGGGATGACCAAGCAGCTGAGCCCAGGCATCCTGCTGCCTGCTCTCTCTGCAGCGAAATTAATGCCTTAGTGTGGTTTTCTTCCAAAGGAAGAAGAATGGGGTTGTCTTTCAGGAAAGAGGGGGGAAAAAAATCTACCCAACTTCAACTGCCTAAATGAATCAATCCATCAATAAGCCAGTCTTAACTGATCTGGTGATAAACTGGAATAGAGCTTAAGCAATTTCGAATAGTTTGATATTGTAGTTCAAATGAACAGACAACTCTAGTTCAGGCTTTATAAAGAAAGAAATGACACAAATTGTGAACGCAGGCCCATCGCGTTCAGGAGCTCCACTGAAAATCTCTGCTGAACCCACCAACTGGAATGACTTTGCAGTGCAGCAGGATCAAATCAAAAAGGCTTTTTTTTTTTTTACATGCCAGCCTTTTCCAAGCCAAGGCAAGAGAAAATAACTTGACATCCAAGTGGAAAATAAATTGGAGATCACAGGCCTTAATTTACCAGCGCAATAGGAAAGCACTCAGGCCATGCTGATTGAGAACTTTCTCTGCTGCAAGGGAATCGGGAGAGATCTTGGAAGAATAAATCCATGTGCAGTAAGTAGACTATTTGGGAGTTTGTATCCTCTCATATACCACGAGGAGCTGGGTCACCTTGGGTGGAACCAGACTAATTTTAATTTAATATCTATCACTTGTGGCCAGTGGATGAACCCTAACTCATAGTTTAAAAACTATTGACGTAGATTATTCATCTGCTGGCTGTCTGCAGAGCGACAACTAGCTACTTCTTGAACATACACACTTTTTAGTCCCACAATTGCAATCAGCTGATAAAATAATGGCTTGTGGCATTATGAGTGGGGGAAGGGGGTTTAAACATCATTCTTCAACATAGTAACAGCATATACGTTTCTATTCCAAGCAAAATCAATCATGACTCCTTCCCTTAGAGGTTATATTTAACTCCCGAAATAGCCAAACAATCAAGGACAAAAAACCAGAATTATAACAAAAAGAAAGAAACACAGAGACCGCCCCCAAGGACAAGCTTCAGGGGCGTTGTCAGACATGTGTAAACAATCTGCAGACGATTTAGCAAGCACCTGCATAATTTGTATTCTCATACTTATGAATGGAACTGAACATGGGGTATTAGGGAGGTGGATAGGATGCAGCGGCAATTGCCAGAAAAAAATCACAATTGCTAATGTTGGAAAATCAAATTAGATATCAACTTTTCATCTTTGAGCGAATACTCTGTAGATGGGGATGTGGAGGAGAAAGCGTAGCATAATTTAAAGTTGAAATGACAGAATAATTTTAAGGCTTGGAAAGAGAAGAAAATACAGGACTTGCAAAGAGATTTGATAAAGAGAAACCAACATTGCATTTGCTATGAATTTTTTTGTTTTTCATCTAGTTCTAAGAGCTTCCTTTATTATTATTATTTTTCTCCCAGGAGTCAAACCAAGAGCTAGTAGCCACACCCAGTGGCTTCAAGGATGCAAACACAAATACAAACCTCAAAGCATCTTTCTACCATTATCAATTTCCCCTTGGACAGATGGGAGATGTGCCTTTGTTTATGATGATAATTTTTAAGCTGGCAGGAAGATATAAAATATTCCACCTGGGTGGCCCCTTAGCACACAAAAGAGCTGAATTTAAGCATGAATTCAGCTGGCTTTAAAAGCAACTGGCTCTTGTACCCAAGGGCAATCTGCCATCCAGAACAGGCCTTGCTAAGCGGATCAAGAAGTGAAAGCCTTTCATTTCTGAAGCATCTCCAGACAAATGTACATCTTTCTCTCACCTCCAGTGTTTGCTTACCCCAATGATGACGGTGTCATCGCCCTGGAAAACCGGGATGAATTTATCTCCCCGTATGATCTCCGACTGATTCAAGGGCCGGAACCTACAGAGCACCTTGATGCTGCATTCGTTGAGTTCGGTAGTCATGCTGGCTGGGCAATGGAGCTCTGTCCTGGTGTGCGGCTTTTGTAGCTAGAAGGAGCGGAGAGTAGTGGGAGATACAATTCCCAAGCAAAATGAGAGACAGGAAAAAGCAGGTTGCACACAGGCACTCTCGAAGGAAGGATCACAAAGGGGAAGACTTTCCTAGATTGTCACCCCACAGCAGCAGAGCAGCTGGCTCTCTCAGCTGGGCTGGTAAGTCTTCCGTGCCTGTGGTACCCTGGGATGCTGCTTGCAGTGCCTGTATCCCCCTCCTCCTGCTGCAGGAATTGGCAGCATCAGCATCAGGCAAAGGGTTGGGCTCTAGCTCAGGGTTAATACTTTTAAGGTGGAACAACCCCACTGCCTTAAGGTGGACATGATTTTTTTCTTTTTTAAAGAGCTGCACTTTCCAGCTAGACTCTTCACTTGATGTTTCAGTTGGTAGCAGTCACTTTGTTCCCTTTATCCTTTCCAAAGACAAAACAGTATAGGGACTCCCACAGACAATAAATGTATAGAAGAGAAAATACTGAAAACGAGAATTTGTCATGCAAAGTTTACAAAAGTTACTTTTCCCCTTTGTATGCAGCTGGTAAAAATTTTAAAAGCTTCTCTTTTATTTTAGAAATATCCACAAAAAGGAAAAAAAAATCACAATTGAATGGGACTTGAACGGGGTGAGATTAATTCAAAGCCATCGCTGAAAAATTCACCTTATGATTGTTTATAGAAGACTGGAAATAGCAAAGTGCTAATTTTCCTCAATTAATCTGGTTATTTCAAATTGGTTTTAAGAGAGCTCCAAACAAATGGGAATGAGAAATGAGCAGGTATTTTATAAATTGAAGAACATTTTATTAGTAAGGATAGATAAGTAAATATAATTGTAACTGGCAATGCCTGTTTGACTTACTGAATGGTGTTTCCAACTCATTATGTAGGAATGAAGCTTAATGTGGTAGTATCCTTAACATAGTCAACCAATAATAGGATCGATTAATCCATGAAGTCCACTCAATAAGCAATATAATGCTTGCATATGTTTACATGACTAAGCAATGAGGGACAATATCTGATGGTACTGAGAGAAATGGATCTTGTGAAGAAGAGGACAAATAATTTCTCAATTTTGTTTTGATTCTCACCTTATGATCATAGAGAGCATAGAGGCAGAACTGGAGTTACTTGACCTGAAAATGAATGGTGAGTATGTCCTGCACAGTGACTACAAATAGCTTCTCTTCCAGTGTCTAGTCATAGACCATAATGGCATTACATAATAGAATGATATCTGCAAGACTGTATCTGCTCAGTCCAGCATTTGTGCTGGTTCTCCCTTCATCAACTGAGATAAAGGTTGACATTTCTTCTCCAAATGAGAGATTGAACCAGACATATGTTTTCCTTTCCTTTTTCTTTTAAAGACTATGACTCATTAATTTAGGGGTGAATATTCTGTTCCTAGTTATTAAAAATGAACTTTTTGACTGGCTTTTAAACAGCATGCTGTCAAGAAGTGCTCATACTTTCACAGGCTCGAGTTTAGTTCAAGTCTAAGTTCCCAAATGTTTGGGGCTGGTAGAAGTACTTGGAATGAAACCATATCTTTGGTATTCTCACAAAATAACTGCCACAGTGGCACAGCAAGCCATTGGCCACTAGAAGCCAAATGAACGATATTGCTTCTCACCATTACCTGAAGCTTCCTGGAATGCTGTCCATTCCTTCCTCTTATTTCTGGATTTTTCAGATATTTTCAAACGTTGCTTGTTGCTGCTGCCCCCCATCTTTTCTTATTTTCTAAGGATTTGTTTGGTGTACATGAAGGGCCCCTGAGCACTCTCACAAGTCAGTCTTTGCTTTGCTGCCTGCTGATTTCCTTTAAAAAAATACTGAATCCTTAAATAAAGGAAGAACAAGGAGCCTGTGGATAGAAAGGTAGATAGTCTAAAGGCAGTATTTTGAGAACCCAGTGAATATTGCTTAGTGCTGGCATTAGAAAAAAAATGTAGGCTTGTTCTACAATTAATAAGCCACATAGGATTAATATATATTTCAGCATAGGCACAATGCTCTCAAGAAGAATGGGAACTAACATGGGCTAAATTAACAGATTATCTACCACTTTCAAAATGGTGCTAGCTTATGTGAAGGAAGATTCTTGTTGCCTTTATTATTAATATTATTATTTTCCTGAATGTCCTCTCCTTTTTAACATAACCATAACCAAAGCTAAGCCGGGCCAGAACTGGTTTGTACTTGGATTTTGGAAATTCCCTAGGATGGAAAGCTGAAAAACGTCATGATAAGCAATGACAAACCATTTCCTTTCGTTGCCAAGACATTACCTATGTGCATTAAGTCACCGGAAACAGACCTTTTCTCAAATAAGACTTTTTAAAAAAATCATGGACTAAAGGTGAGGTTGGAACAGGAATGGAACCCAGTCCTAGAATAAAAGAGTAAATCAGTTTTATTGATCCAGTGGCTTCTAGGCTGTGTCTGTTGTTATTATTTCCCTGACGAGGACACCCATGCTGGCAATTCAGCCTTGCATCATTTTCTAACTGGTCCATTCAGGTAAAAATTCCCCTCTTGCTGATGAAACTCCTTTGTAGGACTTTCTGCCCATGTCTAACCTTCAAATGACACTATGTCTGAGCTGTATTTTTTTCTCCTATTAAATTACATAAGGGAATGTATGAAAACTATTTGTATTCGTATATAGCTACTCATGTATACAGTATTAGGCCTTAATGTATAATATTAAAAATGTACCAGTATATAATTTAAAATAAGAAAGTCATGTGAATTTCTCATAGAGCTTAACCGGGCAATAATTGTTATGCAATATGTTATAGATCCATTCCTCTATTAGGTGCGGCAGGAATATGGTAGAAATTGGCTACATAACCGGAGTTATTCCTACCACCCCCTTCCTCTAAGCTTCTAAGTAATGGCCCAGCCAGGAAGATATGCATACAGTAAAACCTTTTAATCACCACCACTGCTTACTCTTCCAAGAAACAGAGAGCCATTTGGGCAGATATTGCAAAAACAGCAGAAATCAGAAGAAGTCTGACACATGAAGATGTAACGATAGCAGAAGTGCAGCAGCTTTTTTGCAGCAGGCAAGAAGACAAGAGCAGAACAACTACAATAATTGGCAAAGAGGGTTCTTTTTCTTCCAGATGGATTGAACTAAATGAAGCTTTTAAAAGGAATGGCTGAGAAAAGAGAGGTGAAGTCTGCAGGTCTCTGAAACATCAGGTAGGATACTGAGGAGAACACCAGGTGCCTAATTAAATCTCGAACGCCAATTTTTATGGTATATACAGTGCTACGTGTTCAGTGTCATATTTTAGCACAATAGCCATATGCTGCAGCATTAAACAGAGGAATACAGAGCACTGTAAAATAATCAGTTTGATGATAGACAAGGACTAAGGAGGCCATGCTGAAACTGCTACTCAAGAGTTGCAGCTAGTTGAGTAAATTGAGGCCTCTGAATAGTCTGCCCCATAGCACTGCTTTGAGATGCTATGCATGGAGAACACAAAAGGAGAGAAGCCAAGAATGATACTTTAGTCTCCTTGAAGGCCAGTTAGATATATGTAACGTACGTGTTATATGTACTTTAGATATTTGCGTATGAGTATTTAGAAAGAAATCACATTCTACTTTATGGATTTTGCTCACTAGTTCAAGTCAAGAATGGAAGAAATGGAATGCTTTTGTTTGCTTGCCAACCTTACAAAAACCTCCATTGAGTTTGACAGGGCTTGTACATCATGTGTGCATATATTGCAACAATGTTTAATGTGTAAATAAATGGACAATTTAAAAATGTAACCCCTCCCTCTTAACTTCACTCTATCCCCAAAAGGAGTTTGAGAACTATATATCAATCATTTTACATATTTTAATTGATACATACTTTGTTCCCTGGAGATTCAAAATGATCAAAATGATCATTCAAAATGATCAAATGTTTACCTAGTAAAGACCAATTTAGCATAGGTCGAATACTGAATGCTGAAAATTAGAAACAAATTCAGTAAGGAGCAAAATTTGTACGTCTAATGAAGGAAGCACTGGAGACTTACTCTGAGAAATGCTTTGATTCTATGTCAGAGGTGGTATTTAGCAGGTTCTGATCAATTCTGGAGAACCGGTAGCAGAAATTTTGAGCAGTTTGGAGAACCGGCAAATACCACCTCTGACTGGCCCCTCCCCCATCTATTTTCTGCCTCCCGAGTCCCAGCTAATCAGCGGGGTCTTCTTTTGTTGCCCTGCCCAGGACAACAGAGCTGGAAAGCAGGTTAGTGGGGTGGGGAGGGAATGTGGATTTTGCAGTAACCTTCCCCTGCCACACCCACCAAGCCACGCCCACAGAATCGGTAATAAAAATTTTTGAATCCCATCACTGATCTACATCACATGTAAGTATACATTTGTGTATGTCTATAGTGAACATACAAATAGTATAAAACATTTGTGCACAGAGAGAGCTCTACAAAACCTTCCAAGGAGATGCTTTGTTTGATTTTTTTTCATCAGCAAAGCGAAGTAGCTGTATACTTCATGGAAATGCATGTGAAAATAGCCACGAGCAGTTTAAAAACAGTCACGTGAATCTGGGAAGAGATGCAGCTCCTTTAACAATTGAATAAATGTTTCATATGTGCTCCCACACAGATGCAAAACCTCATATTTGTACAATGTGACAAAGTGTATGCAGATTTACAGGAAATCCATATGGTACCCCAAGAGCCAGTTTGATGTAGTGGTTAAGGCACCAGGTAGAAATTGGGCGAGGGTGAGTTCTAGTCCCACTTTAAGTACAACGCTAGCTGGGTTGACCTTGGGCCAGTAATTCTCTCTCAGCCCTAGGAAAAATGCAAGGGCAAACCACTTTTGAAAAAAACACCTTACTAATAAAATTACAGGGATTTGTCCAGCAGTTGCCCCGTGTAAGCTATGGTAGGAAGGTAGACTCATAC